GAGGGCCCTCGACGGCGGCCCCCTTGGGCCCCGCCCCCGCCCTTGTCTTATCGCAGCGCTCCGCCTGCCACTGGCAACCGCCCCGCCAGCCTGTCTAATGCCTCCTGCCGCCGCATTGATTTCGCGCCGGCGCCCCCACCGATCCGCTCAATAAAAGGAAATGAAGTCTGACGAGGCGTTCGAGTTCGTTCACTGCAAGAGTAGAGTTTTTCTAGCGTATTTTTCTTCTTCTTTTTTTCCTCTATAAAAACTCATCTTGTAACTAGAATTAAACCGCGCCAAAAACAACCCAAAACGAACACCTCAGCTCATCTATTCTACTCTGCAATTAGAGTTAATTTTGAGTAAATGAAAATGTACGTGTTAGCAATTCAGTTGGAAATTTGCTTTAAAATAGTAAACGTTTCCCATTAGCCCATCGGTTGCAAAGTTCAATCCTCACCTCAATTCGCTTAGTGCAGTCGCTGGTCTGAGAAAGTGTTAAAGTGTTCGTTTGTTTTACTACTAAAAAGAAAGTAATTCAACAAAGAAGAACATAACGGACGTCGAAAGAACAAAATTATATTATTCAAAAAACTTAAATAAAGTAACCTTCATTTTCAAATATTAAATGAAAACGTAAATTATACAACAAAAACAAAATTAGTGTAAGGAGTCAGTAGGGTACAATGATGAAGAAGGAAAGATCGCGCGCGGTTCATAGCTCATTTGTTAGCATCACTCCGCCATTCACCCGGGATTGTTCGAAGAAACCCCTACCTACCCAATCTATCGATCAAAACTACCGGTCCTAAAATGCTCCCCAGACAGTGGCTGAATTGCATTCATGGATGATGCTAAAGAAAAAACTTCGACACCATCGGGAGTCGATCAGTAATGCCGATCAACAATGCTGCTGAAGAAACAATGGCACTAAGCTATTGCAGCTATATAGATAGATAGAATTCAGACGCTCTATGGACAACATTTCTTGCGGCAGTCTGCTCTGATCGGTGGTTTTCTGTGGTTTCTCCGATTAATACCACTCGAATGCCGAAGAAGAACCCTAAACAAGCGCGATCATACCGTCCCCTTTCTTGGCCTACCCTAACACCCAACTTACATGCATTACACTAACACACTTTTCGGAAGACCAGTCGGAAGGGTAGAGCGTGTTTCGACTGGAGCGGAAGCAGGCCAGGGGAGATATCTGGTTGGGGAAACACGCCAGCTGACATGCAGGTCGACACCGATATCTCTATCCAGCTAGAGAAGAACACTGCCTCCTCCACGATAAAAAAATCTCTAAACTTATGAGAGTAATGATCTTCCCAGTCGGATCCTGGAATCACTAATTAATCGATAAATGGAAGTTATTGCAACCTCTGAGCGGTTCAGAATACTGCGGCATCCGGATTCGAAGTAGGGCTTCCCTACTTCGTATCCTAAAAGGAACGTGAGTCGCAGACGCGGGGAACGGGTCCCGCTGACCGGGAGGTCCTTGGTTTGAATCCCGATGGTGGCAGGATTTTCGACACTAGTTTGTCAGCTAGATCGAGTTCAGTTACTGTCTGGAGAATGGTTCTAGCGGGAGGCTACTCTGACCGGTAATTTCCCGACATTTCTCCGATCAACACCTGGCGAATGCCGGAGCTGTACCCTAAAAATGGGCCACGGACCGCTATTTCCTACCTCATCCTTGTCCTATCCTCTCCCCTTACACACTCTTACACTAACACGCCCTACACAAGCACACATGCCGGGAGACCTGTCAGTGGCTTAGAGTTTGTCCCGACTGAAGCGGTGCCCCGCTGGTGGGAGATGCCTGGTTGGGGAAACCTCTGCTAGTCGACGGTAGGTCGGCGCCGGATCTCGTTATACAGCGTGGGGAAGACCCCGCCACCTCCCAAGCAAAATCATGCACTACACGTACGGGACTAATGACCCTGGTAGTTGACGCGCCCGGAATCATTAACAATCAATCATTCAGCGGGGACGGGGGAGGGGTATGGGAGGCTGCGTGGTGATCCTGGCGGAGCACGCTCCACCTGGCGCGCTGAGCGCTGAAATTGGACGGGGCGCTGACCGGCGTGAGGCGGCGCGGTGCGGTGTCTGCGGGCGAGGGCGAGGGTGAGGGCGTTCGACGGTCTGCGGCAGTCGGCGACG